AGCTTAAGATTTGGCTCCATAGAGGTAGGATTCACTTTATAAATTTGTGAATAAAAGGTAAATATATAACATAAATAAGGAATTTTTACAGGAAAGCAAATAACCGGGGTAACATACAAGAATATTTTGTGGCGAGTACAACTTGCGAACGTTTATCAGCGATATATTCTTTAAGAAATTGTTCGCTCTTTTCGTTATTTTAAACAAAAGACAATTAGTATAGTTAGTTTATTAGCATATGCTAGGAATATATACCACAAGATTAAAATCAATGCCCATCATTACCTCACCAAAGTTGTATACGTTAGCAGTATCTAAAATAGCAAATATTTGTGAGTTTAATATCGTTATACAATCCATTACATATACTAAATCTAGGGTGTTAATCAGTCCCGCAATAATTACAAATCGATTTTGAGAATATTTGTAAATTATAGTAGAAAAAGTATTAATTTTGAGTACTTTAGATGAGACCGAACAATGTAGTATAATTTGATCGGATTCTAATCGGTCTCATCTCAAAACTAAAGCAGATATAGACAATATACACAACTTTTTTAAAGTTTTTTATTAGCCAAAACTGCTTAAAAAAAGTTAAAAAGATCTAACTTGCAAAACTGGCCAAAAAAAATTGCGGGATCAATTAACTATTACTATACAGAATGTATACTATGAACATACCGATAAAATTTCCACCTTTGTCATAATAATAGTCAAAAACCTTCTTAGACTCCTCATAATTCGAACCTAACCCCTATTCAACGTGCATATTTGTAAGCGCGCATAATTTTAATGTTGAAAGAACACACATGCCAAAGAAAAGTCTTACAATTTTTTCGCCAAAAGTCTTAAGTTAAAATGGTTAAAAAAATTGGTTAAAAAAATCTAATGTTGATGATAATGGTGATAGACATTAAATATTATACCATTGCGCCAAGGCATAAAGGAGAAACCCTCAAACCGCTACGTCCTAGAAGAACATAATCGTCAAGAGCTCCAATGGTTTCTTTAATATCTGTTGAATCTTGGGCCATTTCGAATTTTTTTTTTTTTTCAAGGAATGTCGACACAATTTATAAATACATACGGACGTACGCAGTTAAGTATATATTACTCAGCAAAAATTTTCGAATAACGGTAATTTGGTTCAACCGGGCAATCATTTCCCGGTCAAGCCAAATTCCTGTTATCAAAAAATTTGCCGAATAATGGTATTATCCGACAATTCATGATCATGATTGGTCGGCTAAGTTTTAATTTGAGTAAACGTGAATATTTCGTAGCACAAGAAAAAAATAACAGACAGAAATAAATTCATGATCATAAGATTTTGTCGAATAACAGAATATTACATTTTATTTTCCGTACACCACATACAATAACTACTTGATTAGTAATTCATCAGGAAAGTTTGTAAAACTGATAATACCTGATTACAAATAGCTAATGCATTATAATCAATTTGTTTTAAATTTTTATCGTGATTTCCGTGAAATGTAAAAACTAGTGGATCTTCCCTATTTAGGAATGCGCTACAAGTGCCGGGTACGGGCGTGCACGAGTGATACAAATCCAAAAAGGGAATCGGAAAACGCATAATGTAATTATACCGGATTAGCCCGACACAAAGAAAAACACGAAAAAAATGAAAAAAGCGAAAATACAAGAAAACGAGTGTTTTAACCTGTCTTGGGGCATTAATTAAAAATGATGGGAATGAATGTTTACGTATAGGAAGTAGAGATGGGCATTCTGCATTATGTGAATCACATTATGCAAAACATACATTTTAAAATTTAAAAGTGCACATAGAAATTTTAATGCAACAAAAATTAATAAAATATTATATTTTATATCATATGTAATACTAAGTAATATACCTGTATAAAGCAGGCTAACTAATATGATGTTTGAAAATACCATAAAATAGCAAACTTCTGTCTAGAGATAAGATTGGTAGAACACCATAATTGCATAATGTCGCATGCTACATTATGCTGCATTATGCAATGCAGAGTCAAAAAAAAAATATGCATTCGCACATCCCTAATAGGAAGTAAACATTTATTTCTATGGCATCTAACTTTAACGGCTCTAACTCTAAATTTTTAGTTTTAAGAACTTGGATTATTTTTACGTTGAATTTCCTTTTTGGGTTTGTGTCACTCGCATTTCCCGGGCCGGTAAACATGCCGCGGCTTTAGGAGGGACCGCCCTGGGTGATTGATCGACTAATTAAATCAAAACTATTTGTAGTCCCTATTAGATTAATATAATAAAGATTTTAAGGAATGTACTTGGCTAATTAATTATATATTGTTCGAATCCATTAATCTGCGCCATTTTCTACCATTTTAATTGTTATTAATTGTGGCAGTGGAACTTGCACCAATTAAATAGTGCGTCTGTACATATATCTTGCTGGTTATTAGTATGACACCCGACATAAAATTTTTATGTTTTTCTTAGAATTATATCTCATCGGTGAATATTTAGAATTTTGAAAAGGTAAATACATTAATCAATGCGTTATGACTAGTACTTTGAACTCTCGTTTCAAAATTTTAATATTTAAGATATAACGCAAGTTAATTACAATGTTGATTTTTAAGTTATATGAATAACTATAAAATACTAGGAAAAAAAATAAAATTTTAATTACCAAAAAAAATTCACGACAAATTAAAAGGCATGGTTTTTAAATCTATTTTATGATATTTTTAAGCTCGAACAATTAATACTGAGCGAGAAGTTAGATTTTAAAGATTTATCACTTTCGTATAGCAAATTCCTATTAAAAAATAATATTTATTCATGTAACAATACGATTATAGTAAAAAACTGTACTAATTGGTTTACTTAGGAACTCTACATATTTTTGTCTCAATTAGTTGATCAAACACCCTAGGGACCGCCCCAAATTAGGGGACATTTAAAGCCTGGCACTTCCGGTTTTTCGACTTCTAATTAATATTAGGGCTAGGGTTAAACATAGACTAGGAAGTTAATAGATATATAGTAAAAATCACTTTTTCGACACTTTTACTTAGTACATCAAGACCGATTCAGATATCCATTTTTTATATTTTCGTTTTTTTGACTTTTTCGTTTTGTTCGGAATAACTCGCGAAACATATCGGGTAATTTCGTAAGGTTCCAGGCTATAAACGACCCAAATTAGGAAATCGACTCCGGTAGTGCTACACAAGTGTTAAAGAAATTTTTTATACTTTTTACAGTACTTTTTTTAGGAACTTCAGGTAACCTACCCCTTCACAATATTCACTTAATCCCACTTACAGCTGTTTCATAAATTCTGGGACACCTGCCGACTGATTTTTCTGCCGATTCGATTAAGTTATTGATTTTCGGCAATGATCGGTGTATATTTTTACATGTAAGATAATTTATCATTATAAGCATAGCGAACTTTTATTGTGATTGGCTGATTTTTGTAGATCATCTCATCATACTAAAGTATTATTAAAGTAACGATTTCCGTCACGATAGTCACAAGAATTGATTCGCAGCCACGAATATGAATTCGCAGAGGTTGTGATATAAATATTTAGAAACTATACCTTCTTTTCTACAAGACGGTAAAGTAATTTGGTAATCGGCGAGGTAATTCGGAAGTTAGATGAGAACCACTTTTTAAGTATTCTAAAACTTTCTATTTGGTTTGTAATCTATTTAAACTATACAATTT